TAGTCATCATCATCGGAATCATCACCATCATCATCATGTTCCGGAAAATTATTAGCTGAATCATCATCACCACCATCATCATCCGAATCATCAATATCATCATAATCCGAGTCATCATCATCACCATCCGAATCATCATCACCATCTTCAGAACCATCATCATCAGCATCCTCATCATCATTATCCGAATCATTCTCAGTCGAATCATCATCATCGTCCGAATCATCGTCATCATCATCTTCCGATTCATCATCCGAATCGCCGTCATTGGAATCCCCATCACCATCTTCATGCCAATCATCTTCATCCTCATCATCTTCCGACTCATCATCCGAAACGTCATCCGAATCATCATCAGCATCATCATCATCATCATCGTCCTCGTCATCATCGTCATTATCATCCGAGTCATCATCAGCAACGTCATCATCATCATCATCATCATCATCATCATCATGATCATGATCATCATGATCCGAATCAACATCATCATCAAAATCATCGTCATCGAACCCTTTCTTACCGAAAAAACATCCGAATCGTCATTCGAATCATCATCAACATCACCACATTACGAATCATCATCTTCATCATCACATTACGAATCATCATCTTCATCGTCATCAACATCATCAACCGATTCTTGATCATCATGATGATCGTTATCATCTTCATCCGAATCATCATCATCATCATCATCATCATCTTCATCATCATCATCAAAGTCATCATCCTAATCGCCAACTGAATCCTCATCATCAGCATCTTCATAAAAATCGTCATCATCAACATCATCATTCAAATCATCATCATCATCGTCATCATCATCAACATCATCTTCGTCATCATCATCGTCTTGCGAATTGTCACCCAATTCATTCTCATCATCATCCGAATCATCAACCGAATCGTCAGCCGAATCACCATCACCATCATAATCATCATCAGCATCATCCGAATCATCATCATCGGAATCAACATTATCCGCGTCATCATCAAAATCTTCATCAGTATCATCATCATCATGATCTGAATCAACATCATCATCATCCGATAAGTCATCCGAATCATCATCGACATGAACACCTTACGAATCATCTTCATCAGCATGATCATCATGATCATCCGAATCATCCACCTGATCGTCATTCGAATCGTCACCTTCATCATCATCATCGTCATCATCATCATCATCCGAATAGTCACCGGAATCATCCTCATCGCAATCATGCGATTCATCTTCCGAATCGTCATCCGAATCATCATCACCAACCGAATCAACATCATGCGAGTCATCATCAGCAACGTCATCATCATCATCATCATCATCGTCCGAATCATGATCCGAATCAACATCATCACCAAAATCATCATCATTGAATTCTCAGTTACTGAAAAAACATCCGAATCGTCATTCGAATCATCATCAATATCACCACATTGCGAATTATCATCTTCATCATCATCAACATCATCAACCAATTAATGATCATCATGATCATCATTATCATCTTCATCCGAATCATCATCATCATCATCATCCCAATCATCATCATCCTCAGCGTCATCAATCAAATCATCATCCGAATCGCCAACTGAATCCTCATCATCAGCATCTTCATAAAAATCGTCATCATCAACATCATCATCCAAATCATCATCATCATCGTCATCATCGGCCGAAACATCATCTTCATCATCATCAACATCTTCTTCGTCATCATCGACAACATCATCATCATCATCCGTATAATCATCATCGTCATCGTCATCCGAAACATCATCACCAAAATCATCATCGTCCTAATCGTCTTCTGAATATTCATCATCATCTTCATCATCAACATCATCCTCATAATCATCATAATCATCATCCGAATCGTCATCATCTTCAACATCATCATCATCAACGTCATGCGAACCGTCAATCAATTCATCTTCATCATCATTCGAATAGACATCATCATCATCATCAGCATCATCGTTGTCATCATCCGAATCATCATCATCATCATCATCATCATCACCATCATCATCATCATCAACGTCATCGTCGTTATCCGAATCTTCATCGTCATCATCATCATCCCAATCATAAACATCATCATCCGAATGATCATCATCGTTATCCGATTCATCATCCGAATCATCATCATCATCGTCATCATCATCATCATCGTCATCATCATCATCATCATCGGAATCGTCATGATCCGACTCATCATCCGAGTCATCCTCATCCGAATCATCATCATCCGGATCTTCATCACCATCATCATCATCGTCATCCGAATCATCTTCCGAATCATCATCATCGTCATCATCCGAATCATCATCATCATTCGAATCATCATCCGAATCATTATCCGAATCGTCATCATCATCATCATCATCTTATTTATTACTATCAACACGTTCACCATGTATTTTGCTGCATGCTGAATGTGTCCTTTTTAACAGGTAGGTTGACTGGCTGCATTAGAGAATTCATCTGTCAATCCGAGTTCAGGGATTGCCAGTCTGGATA